AGTATTTTTGGTGGTTCAGTTAGTGAAGTGGACCATCGGAAGTTAAATGGGCTAATAAATGTACAAATGGGCTAATATTTATATTGGGTCTAAAAAAAAATAAAGCAGCTGAAGGTTTTTGCACTCTCCTCTTTGTCTTAAAAAAATCCTTTCTTCTGGGAAAATTCAGTCTCCTCGAATTTGCTAGGCTTGTATCAAAAATCTCACGTTATGGATGAGTAATGACATATAATTTTCCTTCTTTTCCAGATCAAACAGACGTTATGGAAAACTCGTCTGTTTCCAGATTAATTTGTTTGCATCTAATTTTCTTATATATTTTATTGGCTTAAAATTTGTTTATGATGTGTGATCTCTGTGTGAAAGAGATATTTCGATAATTGGGATGAAATAATTCATGGTGTGCGTCATCTTATATTATTTTATTGGCCATCGAATTTAAACAAATTATATGTCATTGAAAATCATCATATAAATGTCGAGTTTTTATTTTAACTAACTAATTAATGTCGAGTTTTTATTTATATTAAATTATTTAGAAATGAAAACAGAAATAATTATTTAGAAATCAAATCAAAGTCATGTCATCATTTTTGCAAGGACATGTCATCATTTTAAGCCAATCAAATTATAACATCTAAGGAAATTAAATAATTGTACTTGGCTTTGGCTTTTAATAGGAAGAGGATAGAAAAATTATATGCAATTTTTTCTATTACTGCATATCAATATTTCGAGATATTTTAATAGAAAAGTCATCTTTAATTTAAAATTTTAATTTTTTTAAAAAATCACTCGTAACTTGAATTATTTGACGAAACATGATTTAAAAATAAAGATGAAAAACTTGAAGTGTAGTTTAGAAAATAAATTAGCAAGTGCAACACACATACTATAACACTAGTATGTAATAACCAAGTCGCCTTGGATAAGTCCCAAGTGGGCGAGTCCAGCGTTCGAGTCGTTTTGGCCACCTAGCTGTGCTTTAAATTTAAAATATTTTAGAACACGTACCTTGATGCAAGGTTTCGTGGGGTTAGTGTTTGAGCCAAAGCTTTTAAGATCCCCACTGTAAAAAAACAAAAAAAAACTAGTATGTAATATCTTAATTTCGAATGACTAAAACTGTTTTTGAAATCCCTTTTATTTTTATATTTATTTTTACGAACTATTAATACTTGTTCATTTCCGCCGTTTACGCTCGGCGCCTCGTTTCTGGAGAGAGAGAGAGAGTCCAGAAATGGAGAAGGAAGATGTTGAGGAAGAAGCAAGGATCAAATCGAAGACGAAGAAGAAGTAATCGAAGGAGAGATGCCTGTGATTGATATTATCTTCAGAGTCGATGAGATTTGCAAAAAGTACGACAAGTACGACGTCGACAAGCACCGCGAGCTTGGCGCTTCCGGCGACGATGCCTTCTCTCGCCTCTTCACCTCCGTTGATTCCGATATCGAAGCTGTTATCCGTGTTCGTCTCC